CCACTCCACCCACTATACCCTACCCCCACTCCACCCACTACACCCCCCACCACTCCACCCACTAAACCCTCCCACTACCCACCCACTATACCCTCCCACCACTCCACCCACTATACCCTCCCACCACTCCACCCACTATACCCTCCCACCACTCCACCCACTATACCCTCCCACTACCCACCCACTATACCCTCCCACTACTCCACCCACTAAACCCTCCCACTACTTCCACCCACTATACCCTCCCACTACTCCACCCACTACAAACCCTCCACCACTCACCCACTATACCCTCCCACCACTCCACCCACTAAAACCCTCCCACTACTCACCCCACCCTCCCTCCCACCACTCCATCCACTATACCCTCCCACCACTCCACCCACTATACCCCCCCACTACTCCACCCACTACACCCTCCCACCACTCCACCCACTAAAACCCTCCCACCACTCCACCCCATACACTCCCACCACTCCACCCACTACTACCCTCCCACACTCCACCCACATGCCCTCCCACTACTCCACCCCACTATACCCTCCCACTACTCCACCCACTATACCCTCCCACTACTCCACCCACTTACCCTCCCACTACCCACCCACTACCCCTCCCACCACTCCACCCACTACAAACCCTCCCACCACTCCACCCACTATAACCCTCCCACTACTCCACCCACTAACCCTCCCACTTACTCCACCCACTACACCCTCCCACCACTCCACCCACTATACCCCTCCCACCACTCCACCCACTAAACCCTCCCACTACTCCACCCACTATACCCTCCCACCACTCCACCCACTATACCCTCCCACCACTCCACCCACTATACCCTCCCACCACTCCACCCCACTATACCCTCCCACTACTCCACCCACTATACCCTCCCACTACTCCACCCACATACCCTCCCACTATTCCACCACTATAACCCTCCCACCACACCTCCACCCACTATACCCCCCACCACTCCACCCACTATACCCTCCCACTACTCCACCAAACTACACCCTCCCCACCACTCCACCCACTATACACTCCCACCACTCCACCACTATACACTCACCACCACTCCACCCACTACAACCCTCCCACCACTCCACCCACTATACCCTCCCACTACTCCACCCACTATAACCCTCCACTACTCCCACCCACTATACCCTCCCAAACTACTCCACCCACTACACCCTCCCACCACTCCACCCACTACACCCTCCCACTACTCCACCCACTACACCCTCCCACCACTCCACCCACTATACCCTCCCACTACTCCACCCACTACACCCTCCCACCACTCCACCCACTACACCCTCCCACCACTCCACCCCACTATACCCTCCCACACTCCACCCCACTATACCCTCCCACCACTCCACCCACTATAACCCTCCCACCACTCCACCCACAAATACCCACCCACCACTCCACCCACTAAAACCTCCCACCACTCCACCCCTATACCCTCCCACTACTCCACCCACTAAACCCTCCCACTACTCCACCCACTATACCCTCCCACTATTCCACCCACTAAAACCCTCCACCACTCCCCCACTATACCCTCCCACTACTCCACCCACTATACCCTCCCACTACTCCACCCACTACACCCTCCCACCACTCCACCCACTAAAACCCTCCCACTACTCCACCCAATACACCTCCCCACCACTCCACCCACTATACACTCCCACCCACTCCACCCACTACACCCTCCCACCACACCACCCACTAATAACCCTCCCACTACTCCACCCACTACTCCACCCACTATACCCTCCCACTACTCCACCCACTATACCCTCCCACTACTCCACCCACTACACCCTCCCACCACTCCACCCACTACAACCCACCACTACTCCACCCACTACACCCCCCCCACCACTCCACCCACTATACCCTCCCACCACTCCACCCACTATAACCCTCCCACCACTCCACCCACTACAACCCTCCCACCACCCACCCACTATACCCTCCCACCACTCCACCCACTAAAACCCTCCCACTACTCCACCCACTATACCCTCCCACCACTCCACCCACTATACCCCCCACCACTCCACCACTATAAACCCTCCCACCACTCCACCCACTATACCCTCCCACTACTCCACCCACTACACCCTCCCACTACTCCACCCCACTACTCCACCCTCCCACTACTCCACCCACTATACCCTCCCACTATTCCACCCACTATCCCCTCCCACCCACTCCCACCCACTATACCCTCCCACTACTCCACCCACTAAAACCCTCCCACTACTCCACCCACTATACCCTCCCACCACTCCACCCACTATACCCTCCCACTACTCCCCACTATACCCTCCCACTACTCCACCCACTATACCCTCCCACTACTCCACCCACTACACCCTCCCCACTACTCCACCCTCCCACTACTCCACCCACTACACCCTCCCACTACTCCACCCACTACACCCTCCCACTACTCCACCCTCCCACTACTCCACCCTCTATATCCTCTCACCACTCCACACCTACATTCCATCAACCACTCCACACTTATTTTCGCTACCTCCGTCTCTCCACGTTTAGTATGGGATTTTCTTCCCTCCCTCGCCATCAGTTTCACGCAGACAGTGGCCTGAGAGAGTGGAGGATGTAGAGAACCTTCTATTCTATCCTTACCTTAAACTTCTGATAATAGTAGATCATTTCTCTGCAACCATACTAGTTAAGGATTGAAGTTTTCAGCCTCTCTATGTACTCGTGTACTCCCTTCCATCTTCCTCCTCTACCAATGTAACAGCCTCCGACCTTCCTCACCTTCATTACTGCTTCCATATTGTACCACAAAGTTTTGAGAAGTCTTTACATTGTTATGATTCCTAGGAAAGAGGAGTTTAAAACAACCATGTCCAACCTAAACCTGTATAATTTAATGTTCATCTTAAAGGTTCAAGTTTTAATTAGGATATACCAATGTACCTAGGTAGTAGGTTGGTAGACAGCAACCACCCAGGGAGGTACTACCGTCCTGCCAAGTGAGTGTATAACGAAAGCCTGTGATTGTTTTACATGATGGTAGGATTGCTGATGTCCTTTTTTGTCTCAAACATGCAAGATTTCAGGTACGTCTTGCTACTTCTACTTACACTTAGGTCACACTACACATACATGTACAAGCATATATATACACACACACACCCCTCTGGGTTTTCTATTTTCTTTCTAGTTCTTGTTTATTTCCTCTTACCTCCATGGGTAAGTGGAACAGAATTCTTCCTCCGTAAGCCATGCGTGTTGTAAGAGGCGACTAAAATGCCGGGAGCAAGGGGCTAGTAATCCCTTCTCCTGTATAAATTACTATATTTGAAAAGATACTTTTTTTCTTTTTGGGCCACCCTGCCTCGGTGGGATACGGCCGGTTTGTTGAAAAAAAAAATAATACCAATGTAATTGACAAAGTCACTAATGAAGAAGTCTATTATAGTGTGCACACCTCAAACTCTTCGATCTTGCGTGGTTGTTCGGTGAATGTTGGGATAGTGTTGAATGATGCTTTTGGAGGAGTGGTAGTTATATAAACTAGATATTAGAAGTAATGTTACTCTGAGGTGGAGGTTGCTAGTACTGGTAAGTAGTGGGAAAGATAGTGTGGAGGGATGGTAGGAGTGGTCATAAGATAAAGGGGTGGCGATGAGAGGGATAGTGACGGGCAGTTTTAAAGATGGTGCAAAAAGGTTTTATGGCTCCAGGAAGATAAATATTTCTTCGAGTTCGGACCAATCACCACTGAACAAATCTGTGAAGTGAGTGTATCACAGGTTACTGCGGGTGTCTGCTGATAAGCTCTGCAGGTTGGATACTGCTACAGACCAGAGCTGGTCTTCGTCAGTTAGCTGGAAAAAGTTGATAATTCTCGTGTCTCCTTCAAAACCTTCAGTAATTTAAAAAAAAAATACTGAATGCCTGCTGTCGAGTCTTTAGTTTATTAACTACGTTAAATCTTAAAACTCTACAGTTCTCAGACAGTAGGAACACAGTCACTGGTACAGTCAAACAAGGAGAGGAGGTAGATGCGTGTCACCTCATGTCATCAATGTTTAGATGATTAGATCACCAGACAATACGAGAAGCTTTTCACTTAGAAAACCTACATATAATTTTACATACAATATTATAAAAATACGCAAAGGTTCGATAAACATAGACCTACATTAGTGATTTATTAACCTAGTAAAAGTCAAAATCCGTGTGATTTATTTCCGTTGGGATCCTAGAAAAGGCAAGCATTAACAGAAACAAATCAATGGTAACGATATCCATGGGAAGACCACGCTCGCGAAGGCTCAGACACAATTTAGGAAGAGGATCTAGATGATAGGACATAACTAGCCCATACCATGACTAAAAGAGTAAGTTAAGAATTACAAATGAGAGCTGGAAAAAATGAAAAACACGAACATTTCTCTTGAAAGACAACAATACACATACCAATGAATAATCATAAACCAAGCGAAAAAGTCACACAGACAGATGAGAACACAAAGAGAATAGGAAGTTAGATTCTCCATTCAGCTTTAAATTTGACAAGGGAAAGATAATTAAAAGCAACAAGAATTATTTTAGGAGCATAAATTCAGAAATAAAGTATTACACACTAGAGAGGAGGTACACTAAACGAGAGAAGCAGAATAACTTTGAAATATTTTATATACATATATACACATTGACATGTATACATATATTCACATATACACACATACTCCCTCCCCCATCCCCTCTATCTACCTAAACTTAGCTTCTACCGGTAGACTGTCGCTGCTCACTTTCAAATTAACGAGTGTAGTGAAGATCTTTTATGGAAAAGAACCTTGAACAGGAGTGAGAGCTTTAGTAAGCCAGAAAGCAAGATGAAAGAAAACTCAACCCGAATGTTGTAAGACGACTATAAATACAGAGTGACAGGGATGTGAGCGTCCTAAAGTGATCGTCACAATTGAATTTACCTGTCTTAAAGTAAAACAGGTGTGTCGTCGACCAGTGTGCAAGTATTCCAGGCTGTCGCTGCTTACTTCACGCATCAAGCTGTTGTACACTGCTCTTTCACAAGGCTTACTTACACTGAAACGATTACCCCATTCACATTATCTCCCTCATTTTCGTTATCTCTGAACGCCTGATAACAAAACCAATGTACTGGTTATCTTAAGCAAACACCAGTAGAGCTGTCTTGTGTAGTGGTGATAATGTTTCCACTCAAAACAATACTATTGTTGTCCAAATTTAAATATTTTTTAACTTTGGAGAAGAGTTTGAACATTACACATCTTGCATGTCCTTACGAAGCCAAGTATAAACTATTAACCTCTAATAAAAATAATTGTCACAATTACATTATAACACAGGATCTGTTGCTGCCGGATATACACAGTTAAGTTTAATTTAGATCGAGGCTGATCTTAGTTATATCGGCATACTTGTGACATATCCAATGTTTTCAACTATCAGGATCTACAGTAGTCTAGATTTTCTTCAGCTTCTCTCCTTCAGTTTTTCTTATCGGTAAGGTTACAAGTTTTCCCGATCTTCCTGATCATTTCATTCCCCATAGACACTTCTTGTTCTTACTTGGTACCCTTACTTGAGGTACAACTTCATACCTCGGCTACCTTGTCCCTCCCTGAATATCTCAACTAGCCTTTTTTTTTACCTTATCCTCACAGGCCTCTTCTTTCCTCCTTCATAACCAGCGCCTCCCGCAGGATTCCTTCCTTACCCAGGAAAAGCCTCTCACCACCTTACTCCTAGCATGACCTGGGTCAATTTGGTCCTGCCTAAATTGACCCAGGTCGCACTAGAAAAACCTGATGTTGCTTAGTATAAATAGAGCAGAGTTTATTTCATATTTTCAGGATAGGTGTTGTGGGCCCCCCGTCCACATTTAATGTTTATACATTTAAAAATTTTGAGCATGATTCTCTAGTTCATGACAATGCTGTCCTTTGTAATTATAGGGATAACTTAATTATTGTCTTAATAAATCTCATTTCCCACGATAAATTATAATTCTCAAGTAATAGAACTAGAGCTTCCCTTGGAAGCTTCTGTAGCTACTGACTCCTTGAACCAAGAGAGACCAATTATTTGGACTGGCAGGCTACATCACCAGCTTAGCCTCCTATGATAGCTTTGCAGGCCTACGCATGCGTCAGTGTAAAGTAATGTAGACTAATAGTTCAAATTCACGCTTTCGATCAACTTGAAAACTTAGAATCGACAAGTCAATTTAGTTCGTAAATGTAGTCGTGACTATGGTTTTCGTTACAAGTGGTAACTTTCAGGAGAGTTGAAAAGTGGCCTAATTGTATTTTTATAAGCAACGAGGTAAAAAAAAAGTAATTCTATCATTAATGTATTGATATTGTATTGTAACTTACGTGCAAAGGATCCTTTCTTTTCCTTGCAACTTTTAACTGAGTTCGTTGGTTTAGTCCATTTTATTAACGAAAAATGCAATATCAAGAGACCATTCACACATGTTTACGACAAAAAACATACTAATCTCCGGTCTTAGTTCCCAACTCTTTTCAACACTTCTTAAACTGAGCTATCTCACAGTTGTGTAATGTGAAACTTTCAGGTGCATTCAAGGTAACAATACAAGTTCACACAGTAATACAGAAGATATTTACACTGGCAAGGTGGGGAGCTGGTGGTTGAAGTGACCTGTAACTCGACAAGAGGTAAACAAACAAACCAAGAGAAGAGAGAAAGTAATGAACTACAGGGCTCCCAAACGAACACAAAGGTACGAGCGCTGAAACACAGATGGTGCTGACGTTCACTCACCCTAGGAATAACTCAAAAGGTTATGTTATATATATTAAGCGTTATGAGGTCTTGCAGCTATGACTGCCCAATACCCGCTCCTGACTAGAACATAATAAATTTTCCCAAATTGCTGAACACAGAGCTGAGCCGGATATGGCCTGAGGGAGGCGTTTTATCCACCCTTACCTTTGTGCAGTGGTTGACTATAGCCTCCTGACCTACTGAAGTCTTAACTCAGGTTGACGGACTAATATATGCTATCACGTAGAATATAGCACCAGCACACTGATGTAACTAATCTTGCTATTAAAAAATAGCTCTCTTTTCCTGCAATGCCAATGTCAATGCACTCTAAAAAAGCCTAAACCACTAAATTCGCTTTAAAATGGAAGGGAATCGAACCGGAGGCTGTGTGCTCGAAGCCTACGAGCTATTTTTCAGACTGTATTCGCAGTGACACTGAAAGTACAAGAACTGGAGTTATCACTAGTGCTGTTTATAATTCGCAAGGTGACTAAAAATACTTCAGGTTATCTCTCAGTAATGGCGCCTGGAGTTTTACCTGGAGGGTAAAACTCCAGGCGCCATTACTAACATTTCTTAACAAGGTTGTTGCGTATGAAGAGAAGGGAGTTTAACCTCAGGCATCGTATGATTTCAGTGAGACTGGAACCTAGTTCTTTGAGAAAAACCCATAGGGCGTTTCCTCAATGAGCTAAGGGTTTCCAGCCCTACAGGGACAAAGTGATATTGGTGGACCAAGTCCTTATAACCGTTGAGCGATCATCACCACCACCCTCTTACCAGCACTAAATGAGATGCAGATGTCACCCAGGGTAGATGCACAAGTATGGTCCCACACCAGCTGTCTACTATTCTTCTAGGGACAATGTGTTTTCATCAGGACGGCTGGCGGGTGTATCCGGGGTGTTGGGTAGTATAGATCGAGGTTCTCTAGGCTGGGCATAGGGTTGTAGCATGGCTTCTCTTGATGATCTCGTAGACTTCATTGTATCTAATATGCTACCTTTGGAACTTGAATAGTTCAGACCATGCAGATCGTACTAGCTGATTACCACTTTATCAAAAAACACTTCTTAGTGCGAAAAGGGACAGAACGGTGGAGAGTCACTGCAGTATGAAAGGTCAGATCTGAACGTTTGCCAGTTGCAAAGGTGGGAACTATTAGGAGAAAGTCGCTCAAGTGATGGACACTCACAGTTAAAAGGGCTAGCTCTCTCTCGCCTGCAGAGCATGCACATTACTGCAACAGCTTTTTTCATTATGGTGCTATCCTAATTGGATTGTTTGTGAGCCACCGTTTCATCTGGTCTCGTCTGCGTAGAAAATACATTCTACGTGCTGATGCCACTACCATGACATATACATCATACTACGTATGTTTTACGGCAGAATTCCTCTCAACATATCGTTGGATCCACTGGAGGATGACATGAAGGCTGGCAAGGCAATCTCAGAGGCTGTACTTATGCAAAGTCCACCTAATCTAACTGGAAGCGTGGCTTGCCTTCTCTGCTATTTGTCCAAGGAAAGATTTAGGACTTTTTCTAGCATGGACAATTAAGAAGGAATCATTCTTAGTATGGGATTAACAGAAGATGGAGACCATCGTAGAATGTAGGCTAGCTCATGGAGATATAAACACCTGATGTGGATGCAGAAGACATCGTGGGCATCAGTGTGACTGCTTATGATTTCCATCCGCTTGAAGTCAATGTTTTTCCAAGATCTCACTAATGTCGCCCTTGGGCCCAAGTGGGGCACCAAGGAGAGTGCAATCAGTGGAATCAACGACTCTGACCCTTTGCATGGCAGGGTTTAGGGAGAGGAATATATTCTCGCCCTGCTCTTCGATAATTTTGATGTCTTTTAAAGGAATTATATGGTACTTGTCAGTGTGCCTTCATCCAAGAACCAGGCACTGAGCTCCCTGGTGAACGTTTTGATGGGAACAGAAAAGCGTGAGAGGAACTTCCTGCTTGACACTTTCACGTGACTCAGTTTCGTGCTGTCCAAAGCTTCGAGTCACTGTTGTAGCAAGAGTGGATAAATGGATAAGGTTAATTAAATGGTCACGAACCCCTCTGAGTACAGCGTTCCTTTTAAGTGAATCACAGGCATTTGCAAAAACTGATTGCATCAGAGATTTCTAACGCGTGAAAATATTGTTGTATGAATGTGGTGTACGGGCCACGGCTTCGCAACTCTGCGGGATCCCGAACCCCCAATTGCCTTGGTCTCGGCAAGATGGCTGCGTCACGGCTCACGGTTCTCAATGCTGCTGCCCTGCCAATAAGGCGGCGTAGGATGTTGCCAACGGCAACTGGATGATTCCTCCATTCATCTTTTTATAGTGTACAGAGGGAGGCACCAAAAAGTATAGATATATAATGGTCTCAGAAACACCACCGGTGAGACATGATGGCAAAGTTTGTGAACTCTGACAGGTTGAACATCTGATGTGTTGTGACATTAATCCCGTGAAACTACCAGCAGATCCTGGAGGGAAGGATTTGGCAGCTTTGTACACTCCTGGTATCGTGAGGATCATAGTGATTATTAGAAGCTTTGGCCAAGTATCTGCCTGGTAGGTCTTCGACTGTGGTGGAGTACCTGGGGACAGTTGTTACATTGCCGGTAACTGGGCTAATTGCCTTTGTAGTGTTCCCTTCCTCTATTATCTTGCTAGGTTGTGCTCTCCTTTTGAGGACATGGGGGAATATTTGACTTCCACTTGTCTGGCGGGTGAAGTTTTGCACGAGGAGAAAGGCGGACAAGATTATAATCTCTGAAGAATTTGTTTCGATGACCGATGTTGTTAGCGACCTGTTCCTCCTTGAGTGGAAGCACCAGTCATTACCGAACAAGAATAGGTTGTACCATGTTCTGAGGGCTGTTGAGCCATCACTGATGATTTTCTAAAGGTTGATTAGTCTAGCAGCAGCCTTAATTAATAAGAGCGGTTTAGGAATGTGTGGTAAAGTCCTGGCAGATGTCAATTTGACTGCTTTTAACGTTATTTGTCGAGGTGAAGCACAAAAAGGATTGAGGGAGCGGGGGTACCTCTGCTTCCTGGGAGTGTTGGGAGCTGTTCTCTAGAGGAAGAGTACAGGCGCCTAGACATTAACCTGAGTTGCAGTTGTGTTTGTGGATAAAGCCAGATTCGTTGTCGATGTTTCACTCTCCGTTGTATACCCGTACGGGCCACGCCTCTCTCCAACGTTGCTCCGACTTCCTTGGCTTGGAGAAACCTGCGTGATCTTC